GGATCCTTCTAGCCTCCTCTTGATCCTTCAAGCTTTTCCTTCCTTCCTTGGATCACAAAAGCACCAAAATCACTCCAAATGCCTAGATTTCTTCAATAACGGCTACGGTTTTCTATGGGGGTCGTCTGGGGCAAATGGGACGAAGGAGGCCGAGTTAAGGTGTTTAAACAGGGTGCAAACCCTCAGGTTAGGGTTTTTGTCCAGACAGGGCCTACTCGCCGAGTCTGAGACCCGAATCGTCGAGTCCACTGCTTAAACCCTGCATCTCATCCCCCTTCTACTCGGCGAGTTGGTCCTTCAACTCGCCGAGTCTAAGGCCAAAATGCAAATAAATTTAAAGAATTAATAAAAGAATACGTACCAAGAACCAGCTGCTACAAATCTCCCCTACTTATTTTAGACTTCGTTCTCGAAGTCTGCTGCTCGATTCAGAAATAGCTCGGGGTAATGCTCCATCATCTCGTCCACCAGCTCCTAAGTCCACTCCGACCCCTTCCGGTGCTGCCATTATACCTTCACGAGTTCCACTCTTTTGTTCCTCAAATCCTTCAACTTTCGGTCGAGGATTGCCATCGGTCGCTCAATATAGTTCAGGCTGTCATCAACCTGAATTTCCTCCAAGGGTACCACTGCTGAGGCATCCACCAGGCACTTTCGCAGCTGGGAAACATGGAAAGTTCTGTGTATCTGACTGAGTTCGGCTGGCAAATACAGCCTATACGCCACCTTGCCCACCCGGGCTATAACCCTGAACGGTCCAATGTACCTGGGGCCCAACTTGCCCCGCTTCCTGAATCGGATAACGCCTTTCCATGGCGACACCTTCAGGAGAAACATATCCCCAACCTGGAACTCCAGGTCTAATCGGCGCTTATCGGCATATCTTTTCTACCGACTCTGAGCAGTCTGAAGCCTGCTCTGGACCTGCTGAATCTTCTCTGTCGTCTTGAGCACTACCTCAGTGCTCCCTATTACCCTCTGGTCAACCTCGCCCCAACATATCGGGGTCCTGCACTTCCTCCCATAAAGTATCTCGAAGGGAGGACGATCAATGCTCGCATGATAACTATTGTTATAGGAGAACTCTGCCAATGGAAGGTAGGTATCCCAACTACCTCCGAAGTCTAATACGCATGCTCGCAACATATCCTCCAGGGTCTGGATGGTCCGCTCACTCTGACCATCAGTCTGCAGGTCAAAGGCGGTGCTAAAATGCAGACGAGTACCCAGCTAGTCATGAAACTTCCTCCAAAACCTGGAAGTGAACCGCACATCCCTATTTGAAATCACAGAAACTGGCACACCGTGCCGTGCTACCACCTCTCGGATATAGACGTCGGCTAACTTCTCGGCCGAGATGCTCTCCTGATGTGACAACCCAAAACTTTCCATTATATGCTCTCCTGTGACAACCCAAAACTTTCCATTATATGCTCTCCTGATGCGACAACCCAAAACTTTCCATTACTACAATTGTGCCGCGCTAATTCCATTGACTCCATCCATGGAAGGTGTGGCTTAGGTATGTTTGTTATTTGTAATTTTATTGGTTTGCTATGTGTAATTTATTCTTTGTGGTAGTTGCCACTCCCCCGTTTTAATATAATTTTCTCTCGTTTAGAAAAACATGTTATTTTATTTAAAAAATTCATACAACTGAAGAAGTTTATGCATAGTTGCCGCCTGCCAGCCTGCCAATATTCTTGGTATGAGCTGTAAAGAAAAGTCTGTCAACGTCTGCTTCTGTTTTTTTCTAGAGAACGGTGTCAACAAAAATCCTTTTATACACCCACTAATATTTGCTTGTGAAACAAGGAAATGAATGGCGCAATTACCATGACGTCATTCCTCGTGAGTCTATTACTGGGAAACTTCATGCTGAGTTACCTTTTCATGCCTATACGTAGACACGAACAAGGGCGGCTACCCTTTCGATATTTTATATATATTGAGAACGGTTTCTACACGACACCGTGCCAAAAGAAAAAGAAAGACCTATTACATTTACACATGCTAAATTCCACTTAACTTGGTGCTATATAAACTAAGACGTGATCTATGCATCCCTCGTCTGATAACTATTTAACTATTTTAGCAACAACTTTGAGTAAAAGTACTGTGAAGCTGTGAGCAAGAAGAGTAATTAAGATGATGGGGGATATGACTCAGTTAGGGTCTTTAATGGCTGCCGTAATGTTCGTTTGGGCAATATTCAGGCAACTGTTTCCTGATGAGTTCCAAAGGGATGTCAGGAAATACGTGAACAAAGTGGTTAGTTATGTGTACCCTTATGTCGAAATCACTTTTCATGAATACCAAGTAGACACCTGGTTTGAAAGAAGCAAAGCCTTTGTTTCCATTGAACGTTACCTCAGCACCAACTCCTCCAACAGAGCCAAAAGGCTCAAAGCAAATGTGGTCAGAGACTGTGAATCCGTCGTCCTGAGTATGGACGACTACGAAGAGGTCACAGACGAGTTCAGAGGCATCAAGATCTGGTGGACGTCGAGTAAAAGCATCCCACAACAGCGCGCATTCTTTTCCTATCGAGGTGATGATGAGAAGCGATATTATAGGCTCACATGCAAAAGAGAGCACCGAGATATCATCACTAAAGTTTACTTGCAGCATGTACTCGATGAAGGAAAGGCGATTGAAGTGAAAACAAGGCAACGAAAGCTCTATACTAACAATAAGAGTGAGAAATGGTCTGGTTACAGGAGGACTATGTGGAGCCACATCATATTTGAGCACCCTTCCACATTCGACACTCTTGCAATGGACCCGAAAAAGAAGAAAGAGATTTTGGATGATCTTATGATGTTCAGCAAGTCGAAAGAGTACTACAAGAAGGTGGGCAAGTCATGGAAACGTGGATATCTTCTTTATGGTCCCCCAGGAACTGGAAAGTCTAGCATGATTGCTGCCATGGCTAACCTTCTGGAATACGATATCTATGATCTTGAATTAACCTCGGTGAAAGATAACACGGACTTGAGGAAGCTACTCATCGACACATCAAGTAAGTCTATAATTGTGATTGAGGACATCGATTGTTCACTTGATTTAACTGGTCAGCGAAAGGAGAAAAAAGAAGAGAGTAAAGAGGAGGAGAAGGATCCAGTTAAGAAGGCCGAGGAGGAAAAGGATAAAAAGAATAAGGGAAGTGAAGTTACTTTATCTGGGCTTCTGAACTTCATTGATGGGCTATGGTCGGCTTGTGGGAGTGAGAGACTGATCGTGTTCACAACAAACTTTCTTGAAAAGCTCGACCCTGCTCTGATTAGGAGAGGAAGGATGGATAAGCATATCGAGCTTTCCTATTGTTGTTTCGAAATATTCAAGGTGCTTGCAAAGAACTATTTGGATCTTGAATCACACGACTTGTTTTCAACCATCAGTCGTCTCTTGGAGGAGACTAAGATGACTCCGGCTGATGTTGCCGAAAATTTGATGCCAAAGTCTTTTGAAGAGAATGCTGAGAGTTGCTTGAACAAGTTGATCCAATCTCTGGAGAATGCAAAAGAAGAAGCAAGGCTGAAAGCTGTGGAGGATGCCAGGATCGAAGCTGAGGAAGAAGCAGCTAAGAAGATAGAACAAAATGGTGAGAAGGTGCAAGAGATTGATGCAAAATTAGGGGATGGCGGAGGAAAGAAGGCTGACCAGGATACCGGCATGCTACAAGTTACCGATGCAAAAGAAAACGGTGTCATCACTGCATAGTATAATATGACCCAAGAACATAGAACCAATAGCTAGCTTTCAGGTTTGTTAATTGTATCATTTGTATGTCTATATAATGCATGTGTATAATATGGCCTAAGAACATAAAACAAATAGCTTTTAGCTTTGTTAATTGTATGTCAGTATGTCTATATTGCTCTATTGTTTTCGCTTGGTTGTACATAACTTGTAAATTGTAATGCATTTGTATAATATGGCCTATGAACAAAGAACCAATTGCTTTGATCAGCTTTGTTAATTGTATGCTATTTTGCTATATAGTTTTTGCTTGCTTGTACATAACTTGTAATGCATTTGTAGTTTTCACTTACAAGTAGTCAAATGAAATTAGTCAAAAGTCAGTGTGGTAGGTGTGTGAAGACATGAATCTAATTTAAACTATTTATTATGTTAGGATTTCAGCATCTCACATGACATATGTAGGGTTGGTAAATGTATCAACTTTTCTTTTAAAGAAAACCAATAAAGACAAATGATATATTTGTTCGTTTCTCTAAATTTAATGTAGAAAAAATTTCACAATTGGTCCCTGTAGTTTATAGAATATTATACTTTGGGGACTTTCTAACAAAATGTTACGCGATTGGTCCCTGTGGTTTGTAAAATTACATGAAAGATCCTCCTGCCTTTAAATCTAACTTTTCAGCAGTTAGATTTTAATGAAAAAGACTATTTTGCCCTTGTACCACTATTGTAATACCACTACAAATCTCAAGGACCATTTGTGTAATTTTCTAAATTTGAATATATATATATATATATAGACAAATCTGCAAATTTGGTCCTTGTGGTTTGCAAAAATCTTTGGATGAGGTCCAAAAAGTTTTCAGCTTGCATAGAAGGTCCAAAATCAAAGTTTTTTTATGAGTTTTTAGTCCAAAAAAACTTGAAAAGACGATTATACATTTTTATTTTATTTTTTTAATTTTTTACAATTATTATAATGTCATTTTAACTTAACAATAAAAAGAAAAGAATTGTATTATCCCCACCCATCCGTACTCTCTCTCTCTCTCTCTCTCTCTCTCTCTTTCTCTCTCTCTCTCCCCCTGTTAGACTGCTATATTAAACATATTCCTCTTTCATATTTCAGAAAAATAAAGTACCACCATAACCATCACCGATCAACCATGAGGAGACGCCATCGTTCTTGCTAGAACAGCCGCGACCTTCATAGCACTCCTGGCAACACACTGAAATAGGAAACTACGGTTGACAAAAGGGTTGCAGGTATCCATACATCGGCTCAGGCATCTTCACCAGCTCCGGCTGTGGGGACAACAACAGGTGGCATTGGAGCTGGAACTGGATCTTGTTTTTCTCGGTGGATCCTGTTTTGGTGGATCGGCTTTTGGGGGGTCCGGTTTGGAAGGATCCAATTTAGGCTTTTCAACCGGTGTTGGCACCGAAACTAGAACTACAACTGGAGGGGGCTTGGGTTCTGGTTTTTTCTCAATCACCGTCGGCTTCTCAGGTTCTGGGGGTTTCGGTTTATCAACGGGCTTTTGTTTTTCCGGTGTTTCCGGTTTGTTCTCAACGATCTCAATGCTCTGGATTGCCTTCCCACCTTTGCAGCAGAGCTTATATCTGATCTTCTCAGCATCCTAGCATACGACTGTGATCCTAACCTTATTTTTTTCCTGATCAAACAGTTGATTTCTTATTTCTACCATCCCAAAACAAGGAAAAAAAGTCAGTTCTCATCTTTACAGTAAAGATAACCCAACTTGTACATTATTCCTCTCAAGTTGTAATCAAACAAGATTATCAAGATCATCTTTGACATAGAAAATCTTGTGAGACACAAAAATATAGGAAGTAATCAAATAAGATGTTGTTTATACTTAAGGAGATGTAAGGTGGAATTAACTCACGAGGGAATTTACAAAGGACTTTCTTGACCTTCTTGAGCAGCAAGGGCATTGAAGATCAACATTCTGATCTGTTACACATTATGATGATTTCATTCATGTCGTTGATCGAGATTCTAACAAACAGTCTGTATAATCTTGTAGCCAAGTAGCAAAAATTTAGGTTTTTTTTTTTTTTTTTTTTTTTTTTTTCCGAGTTCCATAAATGAGGAAGAAGATGGAAGAAGAAAGAAAAAGAAGAGAGAAGGAGTCAGTGAGAGAGAGAGAGAGAGAGAGAGAGAGAGATTGTGTATCGTGGGGGATAATACATTTCTTTTCTTTTTCTTTTTATTTTTAAGTTCAAATGGTGGGGGATAATACATTTCTTTTCTTTTTCTTTTTATTTTTATTTTTAAGTTCAAATGGTATTATAATAATTGTAAAAAAAATAAAAATAAATAAATAAAAGGGTATAATCGTCTTTTCAAGTTTTTTTGGACTAAAAATCCATAAAAACCTTGATTTTAGACCTTCTGTGCAAGCTGAAAACTTTTTGGATCCCATCCAATGATTTCTGCAAACCACAAGGACCAAATTTGCAGTTTTGTCATATATATATATATATATATATATATATATATATATATATATATATATATATATATATATATATATATATATATATATATATATATATATATATATATATATAATTTCAACAATTTGATATATTTTTTTTTTCTTTTTGACATTTTGTTTTCTATTGGAAGTTGCGATCCTAAAATGAACTAGAAAAATGAACCGCCCATTATTAATTAGACTCCTAGTTTAATTAACCTTGGCTTATCTGTCAGTCGTGTTGCACGTAGGCGGTGAATCGGGTTGAAAGTGAAAGTCTTTTCAAGCGAATTTATGGTTGGTCAAAGATCATTTCATGCATTATGTTAGGTATCAAGGAAAATTTTATTTTATAGTTTTAGTTATTTATGGTTTTTTGTTATATTTTTTATTTATTTTGAATCAAGTAAATAAACTTAAATTCGATAAACCATGTCAAAAATATTTTTTCTTTAGTTTTTCTTATTTGTGAATTAAAGAGTTAATGTTTTTTTATTATTTTTTAATTTTAAGTTGTTACTGTTCATGTTTTTTTTTATGCTTTATAATTAATATCGTTAGCAACTTTATGTTTGCATTTATCATGATAATTATTTGATCTTTTGTTTTCTATTTTTGTTATAATTTTAATTATCTATTATTCTTCTATTGTTTTTATTTATTTTTATTCAAGTAATGAAAAAATAGAAAAAAAAAACCAAAAACTCAAACACCAAATTCTAATATACTCTAATATATTAATATATTTTACATTTTCATATTTTTTTGGTTTTTTCGTATTTTTTAAAAAAAAATAAGTATTATTTTTTTTAAAAAAATCCATATTATTTTTTAATTATTTCATATTTTTATTTTTTTCATTGTTTCGTTTTACTTTTCATCAACTCGATAACTTTTTTTTCGTTATTTTTTAATTATAATTTTTTTATATACGAGATTTATATATATATATATATATATATATATATATATATATATATATATATATATATATATATATATAATTAATAAAATTTCAAATTTAGAAAATTACACGAATGGTCCTTCATGTTTGTAGTGTATTGCAATATTGGTACAAGGGTAAAATAGTCTTTTTCATTAAAATCTAACTGTTGAAAAGTTAGATTTAACGTCAGGAGGACCCTTTGTGTAATTTTACAAACCACAGGGACCAGTTGCGTGACATTTTGCTAGGAAGTACTCAAAGTGCAATATTCTGTAAATCACTGGGACCAATTATGAAATTTTGTCTTTAATGTATCACACATTAATCATATCCCGCCTCTTTATAGAGAGAACATAATACGAAATCCATGAGCCATCACATACTATCTATAACATAATAATCTTTCCGGAATCCATCATGAGCCATGACATAGTATCTATAAAATAATAATCTTTAGACAAAACTACAAAAATAGTCCCTGTGGTATGCATTTTTCTAAGGTTTAGTTCATACAACGATTTTTTGGATCAACGGTCCTTTTATGTATATCTGTACATTGTCTTGGACCCTCGGAAAACTGAAAGAACTAAAATGCCCTCCCGATATATTTTTTTATATATATTTTTTCTATTCAATTTTAAGTTTTATTAATAAATTAGGGGCCTCTCTCTCTCTCTCTCTCTCTCTCTCTCTCTCTCTCTCTTTCTTACACATACATACACATAGTTATGAAGATAATTCATTAGAACACGATCATCATCTTCTATAACACTTCACACCCGTGAAACATTTTGGGGTTTATTTTTCTTCAAGAACTCCACATACAAACACATACATACTTAAATAGAACCTGGAATCGCTCTGAAAATAAGCACTAATGGATTCACCCACCTGCAATATCATCGACACCCCTTTTCTTTCATTCTCTCTTCAAGCTTCATAACGATAATAGTTCAAGTAGGTTTAGGATGTCGAGATCCGATGAGACCCTAGTCATTGTGTTAAATCATCGACTACCTTCCCTCTTGTGCTCCAATGACGAAGTCATCAATTCTATGAACACAACAGATACACTAAACTATTGCCATTACCACCTGCCTCCGACAACAAATGCTGTGACAACCCGAAATTTCCATTCTTTACAAACCATATCAAGTCAATAGAAGTTAGAACAGTTGCAGTAAATTTTTAGACTTTTGGAATAAGTTTGGAGTATTTCAGGATTTACACTTAAGGAGATATCAGGAGAGAGGATGCACTAGGATTTTGTGCAACTCCGTTATTCGAAAGCTCGTTGATATTAGAATTCAATGCCTAAATAAAAATATTTTCTGCCAAAAATCCCAGGATTATATATAGGATTCTGAGCCATATTTATTCATTAGTTACATTTTCAACTAGAGAAAAGCCAAATTCTCTCTCAAGGATCTTCGGACTTTCATCCCGGAAAGTGAGTACCTCTCTCTAGTTGTATTATATAGCTTAAACTGTGTTTAATTACATCAAAACATCAAGATTTGAGAGTTTTTCCGCCCAAGAACACCTTGGGGAGTAAACTCTTTTATAAGGGTCAAATGGTGCCTAGTTCCTTCCTTAAGCAATGAAACTAGTTGGACTTGAACCCTAATGAGTTTAGGGATAGAAAACAACCTCAAAACACCAAGGAAATGGTGTTCATGGCCCAAGATCGTCTTGGATCGTGAACACTAAATTTAGGGGCAAAGTGTGCCCAATGTCCCTCCAAACTTTGGAACTGAACCTAGAGACTACCCATGGCTTGTTTAGACATCAAAAACATTAAGAATCAAGGGCTAAAAGTGAATCCACGTCCAAGGATGTTCTTGGTCCGTGAACTCCATTTTAAGTTGCCAGAATACCCTAAATTCCTTCATTGACACAAGAGACTAGCATAGCACATTACCTTGATGTGTCTAGAACCCAAAACAATCAAAATACCAACACCTATAGGTGTTCACGACCGCAAACACATGACCAAATGGTCTATGGTCCGTAAACTCAAGTTAGGGGTGTTTTGATGCCACACACACTTTCTAAGGCTTAGGCTTGAATTTAGAATGCTTCCTTATGACCTTTAGGACCCTCATAAACATAAATGGCCATGAGTTTATGGCAGTAAACTCATAAGGGCTGTGAACTCCTCAAAGGAGTTAAAAAGAATCCCTAACACTCTAGTAAGCCTTGAAGCACTTCCCCACGTAAGTTATAATAGCTTTAAGCTTCATTTAGTGCCCCAATAGAGAGTTTACGGCCAGGAGTTTACTCCCCTGGGCCGTAAACTCCAACACACATGGTCTTTGGACCATAAACTCCCATAAGAGGTCTTGCACTCCTTTGTTGTAACCCATTAGCCTCCTAGCACTCGACCAAAGTGTTTTCCTCGCATTAGGATGTTTATACATGTTTAATTAGTGTTATAATCACTAATTGTTTATATACATATGTCTTCATATGTAATTAGGACCATTGTGTGTGTCTAAAGTCTTCACTTGACACCTAGCAGTCCTACCTCTTCGGTTCATCAGTACCACTCAAAACAGGTGAGTTCATACCCCTTAATCAATGTTTTAAATGTTTTTAAATGCTTTATGGGGGGGATACAAGTAGAATTATGCTAGTTATTATATCAATCATATGTGATTAATAAGCAGCATTCAAATGATTGGCTACTCATTAGCCGTTGTACCAAATAGTTTCCTTCAAATGTTTTTCATAAACATTTTATGTGTTTAAAACTCCTTATTAAACTGTACATTTTACTTTGTATGTTTCATTCAAACTCATTTACAATTATGTTTCAAAAAAATGTTTCCTTATACTTAAACTGTTTTATCAAACCCATGCTTTCAAACCGTTTTATAGATTGACATCAAGTCGATCTTTTCTTAGATAATAAAACTTATTTTATTCTTTTATATTATCAATTGCATGTCTATATATGTATACTTATATAAGAAATGTTTAAAAGACTTAGGAAGGCTATCCACCCTATTTCCTTTTCACGCTTGAGATGTGGTCTAGTGGGACATCGGGTATCCATCCAAAGGTTGTTTAAATATTAGTTATATATCATATGTACATATATAGTCATAAAGGTCCTTCCAGCTCATCCAATGCCCTTGGGTAGCAAGGGTATACATCCATGTTCATACGAACCAGTTAAATTACTAGTAAGCTACCATATGGGTAGTTTAGAAAGATACTAGAACTATTACTAGAACGCGATATCATACAATGAGGCAGTTCATTCATGATTCAATACTTGCTAGATAGAGAGAACATACATTACAGCTAGTACACACAGTATATTACTATACATGCTAGATAGAGAGAGAACACACATTATAGCTAGCACACGTAGAACATTATAATACATTACTATACTATTACATAGATATGTTTACATGATTACATATACAACTATACTAGAAAGAGAACATATACAAGTATACTAAAAAGAGAACATATGCAACTATACTAGAAAGAGAGCA